GAATCTTCAGGTGGGTGTGGGTTGGGTGGAGATTCTTCAGGTGGAGTGGGTTGGGAGATTCTTCAGTGGGTTGGGGAGATTGGTGGAGTGGGTTGGGAGGTGGAGATTCTTCAGGTGGAGTAGATTCTTCCAGGTGGAGTGGGTTGGGAGAGATCTTCAGGTTGGAGTGGGTTCTTCAGGGAGATCTTCAGAGGAGATTCTTCAGGTGGAATGGGTTGGGGAGGAGATTCTTCTGGTGGAGTGGGTTGGGAGATTCTTCGGTGGGTGGGTTGGGGAGGAGATTCTTCCAGGTGGAGTGGGTTGGGGAGGAATTCTTCAGTTGGTGTGGGTTGGGGAGAGTTCTTCAGGTGGAGTGGGGTTGGAGATTGGTGTGGGTTGGGACTTCAATTGGAGTGGAGTTGGGGAGGAGATTCTTCAGGTGGAGTGGGTTGGGGAAGTCTTCAGGTGGAGTGGGTAGAGAGGAGATTCTTCAGTTGGAGTGGGTTGGGAGATTCTTCAGGTGAGTGGGTTGGAAATTCTTCAGTTGGTGGGTTGGGGAGGAGATTCTTCAGGTGGAGTGGGTTGGGGTTCTTCAGGGGTGGGTGGGGAGATTCTTCAGGTGGAGTGGGTTGGGGAGATTCTTCTGTGGGTGGTTGGGGAAATTCTTCAGTTGGAGTGGGTTGGGGAGAAGATTCTTCCAGGTGGAGTGGGTTGGGGAGATTCTTCAGTTGGATTGGGTTGGGGAGATTCTTCAGGTTGGAGTGGGTTGGGAGGAGATTCTTCAGGTGGAGTGGGTTGGGGAGGAGATTCTTCAGTTGGAGTGGGTTGGGGAGGGTTCTTCAGGTTGGGGTTGGGTTCTTCAGGTGGAGTGGGTTGGGGAGGAGATTCTTCAGTTGGAGTGGGTTGGGGAGATTCTTCAGGTGGAGTGGGTTGTGGTGGGGTTCTTCAGGTGGAGTGGGTTGGGGAGGAGATTCTTCAGGTTAGGAGTGGGTTGGGGAGGATATTCTTCGGTGGAATGGGTTGGGGAGATTCTTCAGGTGGAGTGGGTTGGGAGGAGATTCTTCAGGTGGAGTGGGTTGGGGAGATTCTTCAGGTGGAGTGGGTTGGGAGGAGATTCTTCAGGTGGAGTGGGTTGGGAGAGACTCTTCAGAGAATTTCTTCAGGTGGAGTGGGTTGGGTTGGTGGAGAGAGGAGATTCTTCAGGTGGAGTGGGTTGTTCTTCAGGTGGAGGGTAGGAGATTCTTCAGGTGGAGGGTTGGGGAGGAGATTCTTCAGTTGGAGTGGGTTGGGAGGCAGGAGTTCTTCGGTTGGAGTGGGTTGGGGAGAATCTTCAGGTGGAGTGGGTTGGGGAGGATTCTTCAGGTGGAGTGAGGGTGGAGTGGGTGGGGTGGAGATTCTTCAGGTGGAGTGGGTTGGGGAGAGATTCTTCAGTTGGAGTGGGTTGGGAGGTGATTCTTCAGTTGGGTGGGTTGGGGAGAATCTTCAGTTGAGGTGGGTTGGGAGGAGAGGTGGAGATTCTTCAGGTGAGATTGGGTTCTTCAGGTGGAGGAGATTCAGGTGGAGTGGGTTGGGAGGAGATTCTTCAGGTGGAGTGGGTTGGGGTGGAGATTCTTCAGGTGGAGTGGGTTGGGGAGGTTCTTTGGTGGAGTGGGTTGGGGTGGATTCTTCAGGTGGGGGAGTGCAGGTATTCTTTGGTGGGTGGGTTGAGAGATTCTTCAGGTGGGTGGGTTGGGAGATTCTTCAGGTGGAGTGGGTTGGGTGGAGTGGGTTGGGGAGGAGATTCTTCAGGTGGAGTGGGTTGGGGAGGAGATTCTTCAGGTGGAGTGGGTTGGGGTGGAGATTCTTCAGGTGGAGTGGGAGTGCAGGGGGGGTATTCTTTAGGTGGATACTCTGAGGGGAGGTTCTTCATGTGTTCGTTCCATATATTTGTGACTATCTGACGTATCCACTTTTCTCATTCTGGATGGATGAGGAGTCCGAATAACAAGTCTTTCCTGAGGGGGAAGGTAGGCAGCGGAGGTGAAGTTGTTATTGTGAACCTGGTATACAACAACAACTGAAGTGTAAGAAGAAGGAATTGCATGGTGTCACAATTCATCACTCTCTCCCGTCTTACAGAATATGATGATCTTTAATTCACTCATTCTGGGTGATGGTAGTCATGGGAGCGTGAGAGATGTTCACATTACCACAAGCAACAATAATCTGTGAGTTAACTAGAAAAATCATGGAAAGCCTAAGGACATGCGTGTTCCTGGGCTACTCTAAAATGACATACATTATATAAAGGTATTTCATTCATCTTAACTAAAAGTTTTCTAATGAATTGATTGAATGGAGATTCTTCAGGTGGAGTGGGAGTGCAGGGGGGTATTCTTTAGGTGGAGTGGGTTGGGGAGGAGATTCTTCAGGTGGAGTGGGTTGGGGAGGAGATTCTTCAGGTGGAGTGGGTTGGGGTGGAGATTCTTCAGGTGGAGTGGGAGTGCAGGGGGGGTATTCTTTAGGTGGATACTCTGAGGGGAGGTTCTTCATGTGTTCGTTCCATATATTTGTGACTATCTGACGTATCCACTTTTCTCATTCTGGATGGATGAGGAGTCCGAATAACAAGTCTTTCCTGAGGGGGAAGGTAGGCAGCGGAGGTGAAGTTGTTATTGTGAACCTGGTATACAACAACAACTGAAGTGTAAGAAGAAGGAATTGCATGGTGTCACAATTCATCACTCTCTCCCGTCTTACAGAATATGATGATCTTTAATTCACTCATTCTGGGTGATGGTAGTCATGGGAGCGTGAGAGATGTTCACATTACCACAAGCAACAATAATCTGTGAGTTAACTAGAAAAATCATGGAAAGCCTAAGGACATGCGTGTTCCTGGGCTACTCTAAAATGACATACATTATATAAAGGTATTTCATTCATCTTAACTAAAAGTTTTCTAATGAATTGATTGAATATCTAGGGTACATAATTAATATCATTTACAGTACTGTACTCCCTGAAAAATTTTTAGTGGAAGAACACCAACGCTCCTACATGAATTATGAGGCCATCACCTTTGACTTAATGAGAGGATTCCTATATACTATATTAGTCGGAGATGCTGTTGAGCACCTCGCTGCTAAGGGAATAAACACTATAAAACATGTAATTCTGGGTATCAGAAATGTAATTTTTTTACTTAAGATCATGTTTTTATTTATAAAAACTAAGACTAGCTTGAATTCCATAATTAAGCTTGGTAATTATGAATTGTATCTCAAAGTAAAGCACCCTATCTAACTTCATAAAAAACTAGAATTTCATCGTTTTCCCTATTCCACATTACTGTATTAGCCATACACCAGGGAAGGTTGTCTCACATCATTAATACAACCAATGATTTAGCAGCTTGATGTACATAACCTTACAACCATCTTACAGTACATTAGTTAGCAATAAAAATTTTCAGTTTACCATCACAAATTCCATATTTATGGCCATACAACAAAATTGAGGTTTGCTCATGAAATATTTTATTCTGGCTGAACCCAAAGCCAGACAGGTCTTGTAATACAGAGCCAGGCAGGTCTTGTAATAGGGTAACTTAAGAGAGGGTCCTTCAATTTTCAGACAGGGCTCAAACTCATCTTGAGCTAATATGTTAATCCTAAGTATACACGGCTTACCTTTCTGAATTATCTGTACAGGTGCTCCTCTACTCAAGAATGTTCAACATACAAATTTTCAGAGATACAAACATCATCACTGAGGGGGGATTACCTGCCAGAACAGGTGTTTAATGTGGATGAGACTGGATTATTTTGAAGAAAATTCCAGATAGAACAAGCATTACCTAAGAGTGAGCCAGGTTTTAAGGCTGTATTAAAGGGTATAGCTGTACTAAATATCCATAAACTTTTCATTTTTTACAATATGTTTGGTATCTAAAAGAGTAAAGTTGGACTTACAAACAAGCCTCAGGAACGTAACTCGTTCGTAAGTAGAGGAGCACCTGTATTGTAGACCTAAAAATTATGCCAATATTGTTGTTCCTAAGAGCTGTCAGTCTAGGTATAGCCAAGACTACTTAATTCAGCCCCCAGGTGCCATAATAATCGCCCCAAACCCTCTATGAATCCATCCACAAATATGAATGAACATGGGTTGAGATAACATACCATACATTAAGTTCCTGGTGAATAAGTATAAAGCCAGGGAGGTGGAAGTTATCTGAACCACTTGGCTTCAGGCACCACTAGAAAAAGGGATTTCAAGATCAATTGTCTATTTTCGGTTAATGATCTAATCTTCCTCCAGCCAGGTGACTTTCACATGAGAGAGACACAGCTAAAACATAGAGTGAGAGAAGAGGAAGTGCTACAACAGTTCCAGGTGGGTGAACCAAACGCCCCCCCCCCCCATGAGAACTGATCTGTTGTATACACCAGGATGAGTCTGTAACTCTTACTGAACAGGTGTAGTGTGTTACCCTAGACTCTACAGCCCAAACCAAAAGTGGTCTATGTCCTGCCTGAGATGATTCACGAGATTCCCTTTACAAGTAACCTATGTACTCACCCTACGAGCAAAACATAAAAGAAAGAATTACTAAAGACCAGACCTGTATGTGGCAAGTGTGTTGGTCATCTAATTTTGTACAGAGTTTTGTAAGAAGTGAACTGCTTTCAAAACAAGAAGCAGCTGCCGAGAAATAACATTGTTTCCTAAAACCATTTTCCAATGAAAACCTGACTTGTTGCCATAATTATCTTAAGTATGATATCCTACATATATGGGGAAATATTTTCTTGGCATGTTTACTACACTGCCTGTGGACGGTATAATCAAAGTGCATAAAATACTGGTATAAAATACTGTCTATTGTATACAGTATAGTATTTAGTTTTCCAGGAATAAGAATCAAAATTTTTCATCTAATACAGTTTATATGAATATATATCTTATAGACATTTGATTATTTATTTCTTCACTTAATATTATTACCATAAAGTAGATATCAGCAATTATATTCATACTTGAGTGACCCTTTAATCACATCATATATACAGTAGTTCTGCTTCAGTGTTTTACCGCTCTAATATTATATTACTTCCTGTGAGCCTGTTAGAGACAGATGAACAGTGAAGAACCCAAGAGGATTCCAGACAACTAAAAATCTTGTGATCTATTACTTCACAAAACAAAATAAAATATGTCCACCCTGAAAGCAAATTTATGAAGAGTAGGAAGTTGTTTCCTACTGACTAGTGAGTTAAAATTGAAAAAAAGAAGAAGGGGAAGAGACCAAATTATGTCAACCTGAATCCCATACACTAGACAGGTAGTTAGGATTAAAGTGGACACATCACACCAACCACCATGGATCCTACACATCAAGAGGTTAGAGGGGTTGGCACTAGAGCTACATACTCCCCAACTGGGAATCCATATACAGTACAGTACTCCTTAAGCCATTTGCCCATTCACAGTCAGTTCAATGTACGAGACCAAGAGCGTAAAACAGCCATCTCTAGAATGAGAGACAATTACAAATGGTAATCCATTGTCACAATTCTTTAAGACTTTGACCAACTAGGTGGAGTCCATTTAAGTTTTCTATCAGAAAACACAAACTTATGACCATTAGTTCTTCCACATTCATTCAGTTGTCAAAACTTCCCAAATATGTCTTCCTGAAGTAAAAGTCGACTCAGTCATTGGTAGTGTGGTTACCAACCACTACCCCCAAGGGCCAACCCGCTCTCCTCAAGAACAAATCTCAGGAGGGCCTTGTCAATGTTCACCCACTAAGAGTGCCATACCTCTTCCTTAAAGTAATGGATCTGCATAATGTTTAAAAGCTTGGAAACTTGTTTAATTGCTGCAACACAAAAGTAGTCAAGATATCCCTAATTATTTGACAGTAAGAGATCTAGAGAATCCCAGTAAAGAACATGTTATGATCTTGTTAACTCATGAAAAGGGAAGACTAGAAGGATCAGAAACTCATCAACACAATTTGAGGTTTTGGAAACCAGGAAGGTAACACCTCTCATCAACATTACTTTGAGGAGTAAGACCCCCCTAGCCAGGTGAAATGAGTACTGTACTGCTCAACCACACTGAAACCACCACACTTTACTTCTCCACCAGTTCAATACAAAACTAAACTTCCACAAAGAAGATATAATTAAATCCCCAGCTTTCACAACTTGGTGAAGCCTAAACTCTATCAAGTCTCCTAAAAAAGAACACCTAGTATTGCAGGTAAAACAAACCAACTATCTTCCCCCAAGTCACACTAACACCATAATTTACAAATAGCTAACTTTCTTCAAAGGAAGTTCTGATATCCTCCTCTACCTAGTTCTGTAAACTTACTCCTAAAAAATTCTGACTTTTTGGATCTCCTACTATAAAATAACCCCAGCACTAGTTCAGACAATTTTGTTACGATCTCAGTTAATCTTACTCTGAAATAAAGGATCTTGAACAGGAAGGACACCATTCTCATCTTCGTAGGTTTTAATGACCCGGAATTAGCTGAAAATGCTGAACTAAAGTGGATATACAGTACAGTATTAAATGTCAAGACCAGGACCATAATATCACCCAGGAATGTGAAAGGTCTACAGTATGAATACTTATGAAAGTTGAGCAGTTTAGACACACTAAATACTAGAGGACCTCAAATTCCCTCAAGAAATCCAGAGGAAAAAATAAATCCCCAAACTCTGGACTGAGGTACAGTGTTTGTGCAAAAAATGGCCGTCAAACTCTCGTGATGAAGACGACCAATACTGACACACCTGCAGAGATTCACAAAGAGAGGTAAGAACGGACACAAGCCTTATGAGCCAATAAATGAAGACGAGAGTTTATGTTAAAACACAGACCCACAGAAACAGTTGAAACATCCCTGAGTATACTGAAAGTTGTCAGATACTTAGCCTTTGAGGAGTTGATCATTGTGAACTGTGATCTGTTGTCTCGGCACAGGTTTGTTCAGATTTGCACGTTAATTCATAGAAGGGAATACCGAATTGGGCAGTCAATGCTTTAACCAGACCTATAGCACTCGGGGACAATTGCTGTAACATGTTCCCCTGATTTACAGTTGCTGATACATGGGACAGGGAAGGGTAACGGTTTACTCTTAGTATTAACAGATTAACACATGCTGACACTGGGGGCTCTATCTAAGGACTGAAGGATCCCCTCTTAACTCACTCTGAATTATGAGTACCAACTGCTGAAGGGTAATTAACCAGAAAAATTAGGTTATGTTGCACAGTAGTGTAAAAAATGTTACATTACAATATTTCCAAAATAGTTGACGCATTAAACAAAATGACCTACGATATACTTTTCTATGCATACTTTAGTTATAAAATCCAAATTTGTGACTGAATGCACCACAGGTAACTGCCTAACAATGGATATAATCAATAGCGTGTAGCAGTTACAGCCAGAAGAGTATGATTTTCCTCCACAGCCAACACTGGCACTAATGATACTGTAGCTAGTGCCTGAGGCACTGACTGTGCTATAGCTTGTTTCAGTAGAGTTTGAGACAAGACCCCATTACAATAATAGATTGTGATTCCAAAGGGCATTGTAGTATCAGCTTTTGTAACTGTATATTGGATAACTTCCTGCAGCATCTCACAATTCAAGTCCTTTGGTGAAATGCAACCTGTAAAGAGAATTAAAAGTCATTAAAATGAGGGAGCAAATCTCAAAATCTCATCTTATGAATTAGGACAGGGGTCACCAAACTTTTTTCACAGTGGGCCGGATAACTGAAAGAATGACGAGCGCGGGCTGCATAATCATTCTGTTCAATACTTGCAAGCCAGAACGAAAGCCATGGAAACCATGGTAACGTCAGAGCGTAGGCGGAGCTACCACAGCGGGCCTGATGAACTGACGTCGCAGGCCGGATTCGGCCCGCGGGCCGTAGTTTGGTGACCCCTGAATTAGGATATAGTGAATAACTCCATGGTTGAGGCAGCTCATTAGATCCCTCATGACAAGGTAAACCTTACCACATTAGAAACAGCAGCAGATATTACCCAGTTATGACACACAGCATAAATTTGTTTTTACACTATTCACCAATTATGGATGACCTTTCACAAAACATGACAAACATGCTCTGAATGTGTTCTAGACAAAGTTCCTTCATGTGCACTTAGTCTTGCTTTAACCACCACCAACTTCACATGCAGGTCATAATGACTCACTAAACTTTGCTGTCCTTTCAATGTCATCCTTTATAATCATGAGTATAATGTAAGCATTAATTTACAAGTGATTTTAAATGGCATGTGTGTAATAAAGTTAAAGATGCACAAATGCAAAGATGATGAGTGTTGAATGAGGTGATGGGTAAGTGAGTGTGTCATATCTCTCTTCTCAAGCCTGCTACATGATGTGTAGGTTAGCATAATGTTTTACCAGAAGGAAGCTCTGGCCCAATTCCTAACGGGATACAGGTAATCCATAATTAACACACAATACTAAACTGGTTTTACACTTTATCAATTAGGGAATACCTTTCACAAAACATGATGTTTCCAATTTAACATGATTGATAGATGAATGTGTTCTGAATAAAATTATTTGTGTCCTCAGGCAACCAATTACAGCACTCTATTCTGCCCCAACTGTCATTCATCTTGTTCACAAGTTGTATTGACAACCAACCTTTGCTGTTCCTTCATGATTTATACCAATGACATCCTGTATAAGTTCATAAAGGTTGAGAATCCCTGCTCTACCAAAACAACATAAACAGGAGCAATTTAAATTAGAATGTTGTACTATACCTCGCTAATAAATATCTTAGAAGCCTCGGGGTGACCCTTGGTCCTTCAGACAACAATGGACTGAACTAAAGCTGTATAGACTGGGTGATCATGTAAGACATCTCCCAGGAACTGCCACATCTGTCCATTGTCATTCAGTTCTTACATGTTAACACTCATAAACTGACATAAAAAGCAAATTATCGACTCTTACCTTTTCGTACAAATTTAATAAGGAACTATGTAGCCTAGTCTAACCTAAGTACTGTAGCAAAGAAGTAACACAGACATGTTGTTCCACAGTACAGATGGTGATTGGAATGTGCGGGTTGTTACTACAAACTTGGTTTATGATACTGTCAATTGAAGTGTAATATTCACTATGGAAAGATAAGCTGTTCAGCATCATGACATGTTATACTCCCATGTTTTATGGACAAAATTGTGGCCACAAACATCTCTTTTTCAGTGAAAATTGTCACATATAAGCGAGGGACCTTCAGAGCTTTACTGGGGAAACTCCACAAGTTTGGGACTGTATATTTCTATGTAGTTCTGAATTGGCATCAGGCTATACAAGAACCACTAATGAGAAAAAAATATCACTTAAGTTAGTGTTATCCTGAGTAACAGAGACCATTTAATCTACTGCTTTATCAGAAGCTAGAAATTATGCAAGGCTTTCCACTGTAAAATTACTTATAAATGATATAAAGAACATTCCAGAAAACATCAATATCTTTTACATTAAAATATAAAATCAGAATTTATATCACTTTAAATTCCCTTACATCACTCACATATAAGAGTGACAACCTTCAGAGGACAGCTTAGATCACAAGAATAAGAATGTTACCTGTCCACATAATTTACATATGCTTAAATCAGTTTACTGAAGACTACTGTATTATGAACTTACTGGCTGTTGTGTTGATGGCACACACTGAGTTGTCATGGTACCACCTGCGTCTTAACCTTACACTAACATTTCCTCTGGTGTAGCCTTTCTCTTCATCTGAAAAAATATATAAAATGATATTGATGTTAGTCTTGACATAAAGGTGTTCATACCACAACAGAGCTAAGGCAAATTTAAGCCAAGCCTCTAAGAAGGGACAAAATGATTACTGTAACCTGTGAGATCCCAGCACATGACCGCCTTCCTAATATCACAAGTTACTGTATATTTAATTAGCGGTAGGACACGTTAGTTATGTGAACAATGTAAATGCTGGTGGCTCATTTGAAGGTGAATTGATTTTAGAGATAGCCGATGGTTGTAGTAAATACAAAGACAATAATTACTGGGTCCAGAAAAATAATTTACTTACATTCAAATTTATCATTTTCAACACAAGCCCAAGTTTGCCATTCCACCAGGGCAGCTCGTGGTAGGGCGTTCACCACAACATATGTTGAGATTTGAGACTCGCTGAGACGCGCCATCATCCTCCGTGCTACGCCTATATCAGATAGTCTGGTCACAAAACACACACCCTGGGAAACAAATAATGATTCTCTACAAGTCTCTCATATTAAATTTTTTTGTGCAATGTATTATACACACAACTTGCTACCCTTTACTAAGGCTCCTCTCCTAGAGAGAACATGTATTACTCAGTTGTCATGAATTAAAAAAAAAAAAAATGTTTTTATGCTATTCACCAGTTAGGAATTTAAAAAAAAAAAAACCCAATCCATTTCTGGTTTAACACAATTGATGGATGAATGTGTTCTAGATGAGTCCTGGACAAAGTTTCTTCACGTCCCAATACTCCCCACTACAGTACAGTGCCTCGACCACCATTCACCGCACACTCATGTCATAATGACTCTCTACTTTGCTTTTGTGACCAAATTAATTAACGTAAAATTATCAGAAGCACACAGTCACTCTCCACACAGACACATCAACTACACACGCAGCTGGTCTCTACACATACACAACTGAGAAAATGTTAAGAGAAATTAAATACTGTACATTGGTATGTACAGTCACGTTCAAGATTCTTCGAACACTGCTGAAGACAGCTGGCAACTCAAGGCCGTTTGTTTACTATACTACGTAGTAAAAATTATGAATGAATGTAAAAGTGATCGGTGATTGGCTACTTAGTTCCCTGTTGCTTAATTAATGGTTGGGCTTTGTTGTTTCGCATTATATTATGCCTTTCTGCTAGTATATACTGTTAATTTGATTTTAAAATGGATAGAGCAATGAGCCAACCTATATGAATTTATATTTAGATAAATAAACATAAGTAAAAATCGGTAAGTATGTTAAAGAACATCATGCATGTGTGTGTGTGTGTCAGTGTGTCTGTATTTAATACAGTCGACCCTCGTTAATTCGGACCCCTTTAATCCGCATTTCGGATAATTCGGACAAAATCTAAACGAACTTTTTTTTTTTTTTTTACAGATTTGGAGGAATATTTCCTATGCAGACCTTAAGCTAAAATGCTGGTCCACCCACTGCTGGGATAAAACACCAGCGTCTTTTTGGTTAAATATAACATCTCCACCACTAGTGTGGGGGGGGGGGATGCAACTTTTAGCTTCAGACATGAAAAATATTTACCATTTACTGCCAGTTAACAATGGAAATGTAAAATATGTACCAATTAGTAATGAAAAGTTGTGCAGTTCCTTCAGCAAATGAAGCTCACCAACTTACAATAGGCTAAATTACCTTACAACGTGCTTTCAGTAGTCTATGTTGAAGTTCTTAGCACAGGCTAACTTATCATATCATATACGGTATCACAGTTCTCATTGATCTACATAAAATACCGGTAATAAAAACCTTTTTGATATTTCACACTTAATATAATACCCGGTAATCTACTTCAACCTCCTATTGTTTACAACGACGCATGACGCACCACCAGCTGTTGAGTATCAGCTAGACGGTACACGTGTTTTTCGAATCGTTTTCAGTTAAAAAACTGTTACTTCACATGTATATTTTACCTTAACTGTGTCTGAATGAATATATTCTCGGAAATAAATAGTAGTTTGGCTGAAACGTGATGTATATTAATGTAAAATAGGATAAAATACATGACGAAAACAAAAGATTTTACCTAACCTTCCGATGTTCAAGAGAAGTTACTCGTTTTTTTTTATAGTTTTTTGTTAAAAAACTGTTATATTACAATGGTATTCTATTCATACTGTGCTTGATATAATGCATTCACGGAAATGTAATATTTTTGCTGAAATGACGTACGTATTACAGTGGAAAGTGGGATAAAATCGTGACGAAAACAATGACTTTCGCTTTCTTTCGTTCAAAATATGTTACTGTAATCACTTTTCGATTGGTCTTCAGTTAAAAAACTGTTGTATTACAATAATAATCTATCCTAATTGACTTGAATAAATACTACGATACCATATTTCTGAATATTTTCATTAAAATCCATCCAAATAATTTTCCTTGTCATCGTCTGCAGCACCAAACAGCTTCTCCCAGTCCTCTCCTTGAACAGGACTAGAGAGTAGGTGTTTTTCGAATCGTTTTCAGTTAAAAAACTGTTACATTACACGTATATTTTACCTAAACTGCGCCTGAATGAATATATTCTCGGAAATAAATAGTAGTTTTGCTGAAACGTGATGTATTTCAATGTAAAATAGGATAAAATATATAACTAAAACAAAAGACTTTACCTAAGCTTCCGATGTTCTTGAAATGTCATTCGTTTTTTTAGTAGTTTTCGGTTAAAATACTGTTATATTACAATGATATTCTATTCATACTGTGCTTGATATAATACATTCACGAAAATGTAATATTTTTGCTGAAATTACGTACGTATTACAGTGGAAAGTGGGATAAAATCGTGACGAAAAGAATGACTTTGAAATATACAGTGAACCCTCACTTTACGCGGTCAATTGAACCCACGGCGGCCCGCGTAAAGTGAGAAACGCGTAAAGTGAACAACATAACATATGGGATTAATTGAAATATAGAGACCGGGCCGACCCCCCAAACTCCACTTTTTCAGACACAATACCTACGTTGTAGTAAAAATAACTTCTTAATTTTATGATGGTATGCACACACAATTAATAATTAAGAGAAATATCAATAATATTAGGTTTTTTAACACTTACATTAGTAGAAAAGATGGCTGGGCACACGGGGATGGGGGGTTGGTTCCGAGGCAGAGGGCAGATTATTGGCCCTCACCTGTATCACTTGTATCACTATCCACCACAGAGGCTTGCAGGGCCTCTTTGTCAAACCCCTCAAAGTCCATATAAGTCCATATCCTCACTATCATTATCACTATCACTGACTTGGGCCGGCTGTGGTGAGTGGCGGGTGAAGAACTCGGTAATGTTTTGATGACTGGGCGACCTTGTGCGCACCCTGCTCACGCCGCTCTCCGCGTAAAAGGGTACACACACCACGGAAAGTGAGCATTCCGTGTTCGGCAGGGTACCGCGTAAACGTGGAAATGCGTAAAGTGGGACCGCGTAAAGCGAGGGTTGACTGTAATGCAATATTAACCCCTAAATCGGTTAATTCGGACAATCGGCTAAAACGGACACCCTTCTCCCCCTATCAGTCCGAATTAACGAGGGTCGACTGTAATGACGTTGTTCAATTGAAGGTGATGGTAATTAATCTTACGAACCATCCGTCTGATGGTGTGAATTAGTACTGTAGCATATGTCTAATACTTTTACAAGCCATTATCTAGTAATATCATTGTCATTCCAAGACTATGAATATTGTAAACAGCAAATGGCATTTCTTTCGTTGAGTGACTCTTTGCCCCCCCCCCTCCCCCTAAATCCTTGTTTCTAACTTGTGTCGATTATGTCACGTTTCGTCTGGTGTCTTTAAAAAAAAATATTCAGTTTTCCAAAAATGTGTATAGTGTATTATAAATTTGTATCTCATTTATTTATTTTTCGTTTATTTTTTATAAATGCATAAAGAATATAAATATAACGCTGACGTTAGGTTAGGTTAGGTGCCTTCAAGAGCCGGATAGGACAGCTGTGATCGGACCATTACATATTGTAGGAATTGTGTCTTGATACAGTTGTTTCTTTGTCTCCGTCTCCCTCTCCGAATTTTTCCATGGTTGACCTTTGTAATTACCAAATTGAATCAGGTGTGCTTGAGGACATTCTTGCTGTTTATCCCAAATTTGCTAGCCCACACTGATTTGTCTTCAATTAGAATATGACGTTCAATGTATGTGATCCACTGACCTATATATACTGCTAATGAATATGGTGTATTTCTTTCTTTCTTTGTGCACGAACCTCTGTCCTGCATGGCAGTGAACAGTGACATTACCCACATGAATCTGATATATAAATATATATATATATACAGTTGTACCCCGCTTAACGCGGTCAATTGAACTCACAGGGTACCACGTTAAGTGAACAACAGAACATATGGGATTAATTCCAATAGAGACTAGCCCGACCCCCAAACTCCACTTTTTGACGACACACAACTATGTTCTAGTAAAAATAACATTTTAATTTTATGATGGTACATGCAGCAAATTAATACTTAAGAGAAACAGAGAAATACAGTCGCCAAGTTAATGTCCATTCAAATAATGGACTCGACTCCCTCCCCCTCTTCTCACACTACACTGCTGGCTCTTCCCTCTCTGAGAATTTTTTTGGGAAAAACCACTTGATTTTAATAAATAATACCTCAAACTAAAGTAAGGATAATATAATTGACATTGCTGGATTCCTTGTAAGACCAGGAATATTTTGAATATAAATGTCATATATTTTACACAAAAGATAACATATTTACTCAGAGTAAACATTATATCTAAAATTTGTATGCCTAATGCAAAATCTATGATGTTTATATTCAAAATGATCATCACATTGTAAAAATTCCAGCAATGTAAATTATATTCTGGCCGGGTAATTTGTATGAATTTTATGAGCTAAATAAAAAAATAAAAAATTATACTTAACCGCGTATTTGAGTAGATGAACCGCGTTAAGTGAAAGTTTGGTTCTGGCGAGGCACCGTGTATATGAGAAATCGCGTAAAGTGAAACCGCGTTAAGCGGGGTACAACTGTGTATATGTATATATACATTAGGGGGCAGTGAAATTTTGCTCAAAGCTGCACTCTTCAGGCATTGTTCCTTATACATATCTAAGACTCCATGCCAAATTTGAAGCTGATATGTCGAGGTTTAGTCTGCCGCATTTTCTACTGAAATTTTTAAATTTACCTACAGTACTAGCCAAACAGCCGCTGTGGCGGTGCAATGTTCTGTTCAGTGTTTATCAACTTTTTTTTCATATCTCTAATTTCATTTAAGTTGTCTTGTTGCAGATGAGTATGGTGCTATGTCTATATTGATTATCAGCCTTTTCTCATTTCATTTCTCAATGTTGTGTTACTGTACTGTAATGTAGGGGAGACACCAGTTCACAGAACCGGACAAGACTCCCTACACTGGCTGCCGCTTGTGACCGATACT